CAGGGACCCACCCCTTCAAGCCCTCAGGACGCGGCTCCTCATGGCCTGACCCCTCCTGTCCCCCAGGGTCTCACCCCTCAGGCTCAGCCTGTGCCTTCCAGGTGGGGTCCGGTGTCCCTCGCCCCGCCCCAGCTCACCCACCTTCCCCTCTCTCCTCCCTCCACCCGCATCACTGTTCTCCCCATCCCCTTCCCCACCCCGGGTTCACATCACTCCGTGTACCTGCCCTCCCCTTCCGGGTGGTTTCTCTCCCTCTCCACCGCTCCCTTCCCACCTCCTGTACCCGCTGCTGGAAGGGAGGGGCTGTGGGATGCTGGGGGTTCTCTCCGAGGAGGTCTGCGTGTGGTTTTTGGGAGGGTGGTGCTGAGTGAGGTGGGAATGCTCTGATTGTTTGGATTTCTTTATTATTCCAAGAGCCCCTGCTTGAATTTCCCTGTTAGAACTGTCTGACTGTAGTGCTGGAGACTGAGATTTAAACTGGGGAATTTCAGAAATACATCCAATTTACTAATTTCTACCTAAATGTACCTAAATTATGATGAGCACTACATTTATCTAGAAGTGTTTTATTTATTCTCTGAGTGGAATGCTGCTTCTGGTTCGTTATCCTGTTACATTCTCAGTGTCCCTCCTATGTTGTAAAATCTGTATGTGTATGTTTTCTAAGAATTAATGGCTTCTTTGAGCTCTTTGAATCAGTTTAGCAAGAATCAGTAAGAGCTGCCAATTGAGAGTTTAGTCTGGGTGGAGAGAGGCCTTGAATTTCCACAGTGTAGCCTGGGAGCTGTAAATTGCACTTGTGTTATCAGAGACGGGAAATTCACTGTCTGAAGTACTCAGAGAAATAGATAAATTAACCCAAAGCTCTGGATAGATAAAAATTGCCATGCATGGAACAGCAAGGCTGATTTTTGAAGGACTTTATTCCTCGTGTAGTTGCTCAGTGACCTCTACAGAGGGCAGAAATGATCTGGTGGAGACTTAAGACTTTTAAAGATAAATTTGTAGTCTCTGTAGACACAGAGTCAGTGTGTAGGTACCGTGGTGACTGGTGCTCTATAAATTCCTGCCATGAGGATAACACATGTACCAGTTGAAAGGTGCTGCTGAGCTGCTGCGTGGAGAATGGTGCAAACAAGAATTAGCCTCATTTTTCAGGCATAAAATAAAAAACAACCTCTTTTAAGTTAAGTATTGCCTCTGTTGCTGCAGGGAAAACAGATATTTTTGGCAGGAGATGCTAATTGAATACAAAATACCGTGTTACTCTGATGTGTGTGTACCCTTTGCTTGGTTACTGGGAACAGGGTTTGGGTTATACTGACTTAAAATATGATTTATATTCATTTATCCAGTTCACAGGATGGATAAGATGGCTGCTCCTGGGAAAGATGCAGACCTGAGGCTCCAGCAGAACAATCCATTGGGTAAGGACAGTCCTTTCTCTAAAGCCCTGCTGCTGTCGGATCCTGTTTCAGCTTCTCTGAGCGGACACGTGGCCCTGAGAAGATTCTTTACCAGAGGCTTTTTGTTCAGAGAAGTCTTATTCCTGCAAAAGTACACGAGGGCAGAGAGTCATCTGATAATTAATTTCTCTCTTAAGCAATAACTGATGAATCTGGGAGAGTTCTTAATAGTTAATGCAAAAAATACATCTTTAATTTAGGCGGTTCTGCTGTGCTGCTGCTGCTCTTTTTAGTCTGAGTACCAGAGCATCAGCTAGGTGTGATATCATCAGACTCATCAATGGGAATATAATTTACTACTTTTGCATTCTGACTTCCATAACAAGATTGATTTTCAGTCTCCTGTTGATACCATTTGACTTCCCTGGTCTTGCTGCCATTTCCTTTTGCAAAAGAGATTTATTTAGCAATAACACAGGGAGTGAAGCAAGGAGCGGTTTGGGGTTTGGAAGTGCTGGTAATTAGATATGGCTCCATGGTATTAAAAGGTTTTTCAATCTGTTGGCTGAAGTGTAAACATCCCTTTTTTTATCTCTCCAGGTCCCAGCACTAGTCAGAAGAGCAAGTTCTTGGAGACTGACTGGAAAACACCCACGTTGTCCGTGAAGTCCCAGAGCCGCGTCAGTCGCTGTCCGAGCGTGGCCGACAGTGGGGATGGGGGCATTGGGACCTCCTGCTCAGACAGCACAGAAGGTGATGGTCCCCATGGGCTCCCAGAGTGTAAAACTTGGAGAGCAGAACCTCTAATGATGTTTGGAGGCTGTTTCAAATCCAGTGCCTTGGATAGGCTGCCTGGAATATAAGCAAGTGATGAAGGCACTGGGTGTTTCTCTGAGCTAGTTTGCTTATCATCTACCTCCAGTGGTTTTAACTGACTAAGAGCCACCTTGGGGATTTGCTGGTTCATATTGATCAACAAGTGATTTATCAGCAAGTCTGTTGTGTGATTTTATTATTTTTTTTTAAGAAATAATTTATAATAATTTATTCTTTTTGCAGAATTGTTTGTCTCTTCAGTGTTAGCCATGCGCTTCTCACTGAAGAACTCAGAGCCTGGCCCTCAGCTGAGGCACATTCTGTCAAATTGCTTGTCCCAGCAATCCTTTCCACCTGTGTTTCCATCTTCATTGATTCTCCTTTCAGCAGTCAGGAAGTTTGTGGTGTGCTTTAAAACACTTCACACATCTGTTTCAGGAAGCTGCGTTGAGCCTTTGGAATGAGCTGTAGGTCTTAATCATGTGTGGGTAAATTGAAGGCTTTGGAAAGTCTGGCTGTTGGAAATATTGCTGGAGATATTACATGAGCACGTGTTTGTGTCCATCAAGGCTCTCTCAGGGTAATAAAACACCCAGTTGCAGGTGAGGGCAGGGGAAGTGATAATTTCCCTTCAGGAAGTGACCCGTGTGAGCACTGGTGTTGTCACAGCCTTGTCTGTAAGAGCCGGGGCTGACCTGCAGCCCTGGCCACTGGCTGAGGCACTCTGAGCTCAGTACATTAGTCAGAAATGTTGTTGTGGTGACCCTCAGCACACTCAAGGAATCTATTGCAGCACCTGCATGTGGCATCTTGGTCAGGGAACTCGAGTTCCAGACAGTGCCACCGGGGGATAAATTTAGGGGCTGTAAAGGGAAATGGTACTGTCTCTTCTTTTGCCAAGGTGAACATGCTTGTGACTGTCCAGGAGCACAGTGTTCTCTGGAGGTCCCAGGGCACAGCCAAGCAGCAGCAAAGAGATCTTCTCCCCCTCACTGCTCACTTCTGATGAAAGGATCTAGTGCCTTTACTGGGATAGTTTTCCTGCAGTGCGATGATGGTCTTTGCAGAATCTGATTTAGGTCATACTTGAATTGTAATGTTCATTCCTTATGTAGCAATGCTTGGAGGGTGCAAACAGGTGGAAGGGTGACTTGCAGTCCTGATGTTGCATTGAAGGAACGTCACGTGGGGATGGGCCTTTGGCCAAAGCCACGAGGAAAACAAGTTTGTGCACCTGGGAGAACCCTGGAATTCCTGCGATACAGAACGGATCGATCGGGACAAGGAGTGGGAAGGGGCACTTGACTGTTTGCCTTTCTAAGCTCTTGCTGTTGCTGTATTGAAATCTGAGAGTTGCTAAGAATAACCCCTGTGTGTGCAGCCAGGTTTGGTGCCCCTCTGGCAGGACGGGCTCGCGGGGTGCGTGCGCTGAGCTCTGCCTCACTTCCTGTGGCAATAAGGTGAGAGCCATTGCTCCAGGCTCTTTTGCTGCGGCGTCCTGGAGGAGCTGGAAGGTCAGAGCCTCGGGTTCAGCTATGTTTGAGGCTCACCATGGGCTCAGGGAAGGCTCCTGTTAGCTCTGGTTATGGTTTGGAGTTGCAGTGGGATGGGCAGAGCAGAATCGCCATCTCAGTGTTTGACTGAGTAAGTCTCACCCTTTTTATTTGATATGAAGGACTTGATTTCTAAACCTATAGGAAGATAACCTGACTGATTTAAGATTATGCTAGAGAAGCTTAAAAACGAGGAATAAATGTGAACTGGATTAAACCTGGATTCTCCCTGCGGTTTATGGTGGTAGGAAAATGTCATCAGGTTCCTGAAACATGTAGAGAGGGGGAACATAGGTGTGCCTGAGGCTTGCTGCTGCTGGTTAGGAGGATATGTTGAGGGGGAAAGGAACTGGTTTTCAAGTTATTTTGGAAAGTTCACTGCAGGAGTGTGTTTTCAGGATTGTAATCAGAATATCACTCTTTTTTTTTTTCTCTCCCCTAGATTTCTGCAATTCCAGTAACGGTTCCTCATTCCACCCCATCAAAACCCAGGTGACCATTCCAACAGCCCACGTTATGCCTTCCACGCTGGGTGCCTCACCCTCCAAGCTGTGCTCTGCAGGAGACCAGGGCTGTTCCCAGCACATTTCAAAGGCTGCTGTGCCAGGATCTGCCTCTGAACACTCAGGGCTCACGAGGAACGGGGATTTTAATGCTGGGAAGTCGTCTCAGGTGCCACCCAGGGATCTCCTGCGGCTCTACGGGGCTTCAGGGGAAAATGGCTTTGAGCAACCCTGGCCTCCTGCTGCTGATCCCATGAGAGCAGAAGACCCTTGGAAGTTTGACACTCCTGCCATGGAGCGCACCCTGAACCAGTCTCTCTTTCTGGACAGTTTGTGTGCTGACCCTCAGCACAGGTTCCAGAAGCTCAGTCCAAACCCCGAGGCAGGGAAGGACCATTTTAAGGTGCTGCCAGAGAGCAAACAAGGGGCAGGGCCCAACGGAGTCTGCGAGCCCCGGAACGGGACGTGGCCGAGCGGGAGCAGAGCGATGCCAGCGGGACTCCAGGCCAACAATTTCTTCTCAAAACCTGTAGTGAGTCCTCCATCCCGAGCGTGGGTGCCAGAAGGATGCACCCTCCATCCTCACAAGGGGGTCTGTGAGCTCAATGCTTGGAAACAGCAGCTGGACAAAGTGCGACTGCAGGTGGAGCAGATGCAGGTAGGGAGCTGCTTGTGTGGCTGTAGCAGTTTGAAACCCTTTGGTCAGGAATCCTTGTGCTAGAGTTAGGAAGCAAAGGGGAAAATGTCTCCTGCTTCTCCCTGTGTGACACTGAAAGGCTCCTAATGATCTGTTTTTACAGCATGTGGTGTCACAGGTGTCATTTGACACACTCCATATGTAGAGCAGGTCTGGATTATGTTACAGTGCTGCACCAGAGTCCAGACCAAGAGGTAAAATACCCTGTCTGCTAGAAACTGCAGAGAAAAAGAATGCCAAGAGGTTCTAAATAGATTCTAGAATAATTTTATTCTGTATCTAGGGTTAAGAAAAACTTTTTTTTTTTTTTAAAAGATGCACAAAACTAACTGCAGCTTATTAGGTGGAAACAGTTTGTTTACCACCTCCCACCAGCTGTACCCTAATGGAGACAAATTGTTTCCAGTGAGCTAGCACAGTGATCTAAAATTATTTGTTAATCTCCAGTTGTGCTTGGGCAAAGTTACTTGTTCTTGGACATCAGCAGAGACTGAAATAGCC